GCCCATCATACCCTGGGTTGGGGAACTCATGGCTCTGAAGTTGTCCCCATTAAACTGCGTGGAAAACCCCACCTGTCAAACGAAATCATTCTTCAACATGTAAAAAAATAGCCGCACTTTTATCCTAGCTTGCAAGAAAAATAAGTTAGAATTTTCCTAATCTCAGGTTTTGCCCATAAAGTGTCCTTTGGCCTTTGACCCCAGACCCTGGAGTCTTCAGAGAGATCGCATGTGATTTTATGCCATGTGTATATTCAGCTGTTTGATTTATTGTATGAATATCCGATGGCATTCTCTGCGACCCCCAGGTGCTCTGCCACCTGACAAGTTAGGGGACTGATGCTGGCACAGAAGGTGGCAGGAGGGCTCGGGCCAGCCCAGGCTCTGCTCAGTGTGTGGCCTCCAAAAAGCCCTGTGTCTCTTGAGGCCTCACTTTATCATCTGTAACGTGAGGGCGCTGAACCAGATGAGCTCTGAGATCTTTCCTTGTACTAACATTTTATGAATCTTTCACTCTTACCGACTCTTTTTCTCCCTGGAGCTTCCAGCCACACTTTCCCTCACAGTCCCCTCAGGCAACGATGTTCTTCTGGGAGACCTTAAAGGGGCACACAGCCAACGGGCACCCAGCCCACATCCATCTCTGCCCGACCCCACTCCTGTCCCTGCGTTCACCCACCGGCCGCCCTGTCGTCACGGACTTGTGACCACAGGATTCCACTCTTGCTTTTCCCCCTTTCTTTTCCCAAATTTTTCTCTTTTCACGGGACAGTCTTCTCTCCCTGTTTTTCTTTCTTCCAGTGCTCTGTCTCCATGTCTTCACCTTTCTCAAAGTGAAGACTGCTTTTCAAAGTATTCTTCAAATTGTGACTGCCACTTTAGAAAGGGAAGCCTCGCTTGTCCGGGCCCCCTGGGGCTGAGTCGGGCGGCCGTGTCTCCAGATACCAGACGTGTGCATCTCCCAATGTCTTGTTTAATTTTATGCTCTAAGAAGTAAGTTTTTGGGCCTCCTTTTACAGGGCACAACTTTAAGGAAGCTTGACCCTCCTCTGTCCCCACTCTGGGGCCAGTCTCTGGCCTTGGGCGTAGGTGAGAGCATGCTGTCCGAGGGCTTGTGGGCACCTTGGATGACTTACCTTTTGGAAGGACCTGGAAAGGGGCAGGACCTCAGAGGTTTGCTGCTTACACAAGGTTCCAGGGCAGAATCAGTCACTGAACTGAGAATGTAGGAGAGGTTGTCCAGATCCCTTGCCCCACTCTGATAGCCTCATCCTCTGTGCTACATAACCCACACTGGGACTTGCATTTGGAAGAAAAGGGCAGCATCCCAGGAGCCCCACTTGGCCTCTGGTTTCTTCGTCCTCTCAGTCCTGGAATGCAATCCTGGACCCATAATCGCATGAATATTGCATTCGCATTTCTACATCCATCGTGGAAAAAGCCCAGCCAGAAAGGCTGCCTCAAACAGAGTAATGGCTTCTTAAAATCTTCCACGGCAGTGTGATGTCATTGAAAGGAGATAGGATTTGAATTGGGAGCCCATGCTAACTGTACAACTTTCAGATAGGCCCTTGAATTCCCAGAACTTAAGTTGTCCCATCTGTAGAAGAGGAATGATAACATAAGCCGTTCAGAGTGCACTGATGTGAAGAATTCAGTAAGTGAAAGTATACAAATAATTTGATTTTAGATATGAGTAAACTTTGCACACTTGACAACAGAAGCAACTATTCTGTTTAACCCGAGAAACGTAATTATTATCTATATGGCAAAAAAGGCTCACATGAAATTAGGGTGCAGGTAAGGCTAGGAAGAGAGCTTGGGCTTAACTCGGTGTCATCTAGCAAACACCCCTGAGGCTTGCAGGCACCTGGCCAGGCACATCCCTAGCTGCCTCTGCCGTCTCCTCCATCCCATCCCCAGTGGGAAATGCAGGGCACCATTCTCACATGTTTCTGAAGATGTCCATCTGTTCCTCTTGCAGTTAGCAACAAGACTGATGGAGAAGCCAGTCCGTTGAAGGAAGCAGAGATCAAGGAGGAGGAGGAGGAGGTGGAGAAGCAGCAGCAGAAGAAGGAGAAGCGTGAGACGGGCAAAGCCATGGTGCCCCACAGCTCCATGTTCATCTTCAGCACCACCAACCCGTAAGGCGCCCTCCATCACCACCCGCCTTTGATGCCGAGGTCCACAAGCAGGGTTTGAGTCGGGGCGGGGTGAGGAGGAAGAGGAGGGATGAGGGTCTGGTCTTCCTCCTGACCCTCCCTGGTGGTACATGGCCAGACATCTGAAGCATCCAGGGTACTCGTGAGTTGAGGTGGATCATGGAATTTATTAACAGACTCAGAACTCTGTGCCCAGAGTCTAAAGGGTAATTTAAGGCAGGACAGCAGGAGAAATGTCGTAAGGAAGACCCTTCACCTGCTCTTTGGTCAGTAGGTGCCAGGGGGTGGGAAGGAGAGAAACCTACTTAGAATGTGTCACCCAGTATTCCAGAGGTGGGCGGGGCTGAGCACAGAGCCTGGGGTAACTAGACTAGCCATTGGCTGCCCTCCGTGTGAATTCCGAAGTGGACGTGTTCCTCGGAGCAGAGGCAGGGCCATGAGATGGGGTCGCATGGAAGAATCAGGGAGGTTAGATTCAGGAAAGATGGAATTTTGAAAGGGAAAATTTGCCTTCTGCCCTGGAAGTGAGCAAGACATCCAGGTGGTCCCGGAAGACGGGAGGGCTTCCAGTGACCGTGTGGGCAGCATTCGGCCAAGGCCCTGGGGGGGAAGGAACGAACCTAACAGGGTACGTCAGGCCAGCTGAGAGTGGGGTGTGGTCTGTAGTGACTTTGATCAGAGTCCCCGAGGCTCACGGAAACCTCTTGCTGCTTTCATCAGGAGTCTTAGAATCCAGGCCTGGTTTTCTGTGTCTTGGTTCTTCTGCTTTCCTTGCTCTGCCCCAGTTTCTGTGCAGCGAGGGGCGTAGACCTTGAGACACGGTGGAAGGTACCGTGTGTATAGCCTGGTGCTGCTGCTGCGCCCACAGCTCAGAGGCACTTGCAAGATAATGTATCTTGGCTTGCGTACTGCGGCCTCTAACCAATCTGATTACCTTCCCCAATGGGGCTTTAAATCAAGGGTGGTGCCTCAGAAATTAAATTGCTCTCCCCACGGCTTCCTCCGGCCAGGGCCTGGCTGTCTGGGAGAGGCTGATGTGCTTGGGGGTGGGGAGCGAGGGTGGGGATGGGAGGGAGGGGGCCGGCTCAGCAGGCTCCTCCGCCCCGCCCCCCAGCATCCGCAGGGCCTGCCACTACATCGTGAACCTGCGCTACTTCGAGATGTGCATCCTCCTGGTGATCGCAGCCAGCAGCATCGCCCTGGCGGCCGAGGACCCCGTCCTGACCAACTCGGAGCGCAACAAAGTGGGTACCCAGGGGGCCGTTTGCTAACCTCCTTAGTGCCCTGGTACCTGCTCTGTCCCAGCTCCCTCCCATCCCAGCACTAGAGGGGAACTAAGGAAGGTTCCTGGGGATGAGGAAGGCTTGGGAAATTGCCCATCCCTGTTCCTAAGGGCAAAGTGTGAAGCATTTCAAGACCAGCCCTCACCCCGACCCTAACTCCCCAATATCATTGCTTGCCTTGGTGCGTCAGCAGTGGCTGTACATCCAGAGCCAGTCAGGGCTTTGGAAGAGGGGGTCTACGGCCATGCCTGGGTTGGAAGCGGGATCCGGCATAGGGTGGTGGGTGATGTGAGTGAAGATGGGGAGCTGAGACGTCTCTTGGAGGGCTCCCGGGAGGATGTTGCAAGGTGTGAGAGAGGTGGGGAGGATTTGAACTGACAAGGATTCCAGAAAGGGAGAGATTTGTGGAGCAGTTCAGCCCCAGGACGTGAAGTTCTGACCCCGGGGAGGGAAGGACCAAGTCCTGGCCACCGGGTTGTGCGACCCCCATGGTTTCCATGGCTCCTCTCCTCCCTGCATCCAACTAGCAGTTACAAGCTTCTGTTTGGAGGTAAGAATGCCCATGTCTGTGGAGTGCATGGAGCCCACGGTCACATGTGGTCCTCTTCCTCTTCCCTTTGTGTGTCTTACAGGTGCTGAGGTATTTTGACTATGTTTTCACCGGCGTGTTCACCTTTGAGATGGTTATAAAGGTGAGAGCCTGTAGGGCAAACCTGGGCGCTGGGGGGTTTGGATGGGTCACTGGTCACCTTCTCTAGTACAGTGCCCTTGCCCAGGGCTGTCACCTCCAGTGACAGTGGGGCCTCTGCTGACCCCCCCTCTGGCCTCAGATCCGGGTCACGTCTGTCGTGTCATGACATGACTGCATAGATCTGTTTCGAGGAGGGCGTGGCCCGAGAAGGAGGAGCCAGGCCCCGCCTCAGGCAGGTGTCAAGAGTGCTGCAGGGGTGGGGACGGTTCTCACCTCCCTAGCGTGCTTCCTGGTTGGAGCCTGGGTACCTGCCA